TCGTTTTTAATCTTCTTCCTTACAACTCCCCCTGTTCAGAACCTCTTGCGTACAAGGCCGCCCACGTGGATGTAGGTTGAGCGGCGGCTGCCCCCACCCCCGTGTGTCATATCGACCCACTTGCACACAGCCAAAAGGCAAAGAGGCAAAGAAGAGAGGAAGGGAACAGCCAAATGAAACAAATAGAACAGAGGGAAACAAGACAGATCCCAGATGACAAGTCCCACATGAGGTGTTGATTCAGCAACCACCTCTAGTTGCTCCCGGGAGGGTTAACAGTTGTTGAAAGGTTCATTGGTCGGCAATAAAAGAGGTTGTCATTAAAACGAGGAGTATGCCCAACCATTCCACTTGACACCTTAACATGGAATAATAGCATGGTTGTACCATCTCCAACGCATAGTGCTTACTCCCACTTGGACCAACACTGCATGCCTTCTGGATGTTTTCACCAGGCTAACACAATGTATGGGTTGGTTGTGTGCCCTGCTAAACCCTAACCCTAAATGGAGTGTTGTTTTAGTCTTTTGATCACTTGGGAATTTGGGATAGAGTCATTTCTTCCATTGAACGTATGTAATTTTGATTCATAGATTGCAATTGATTAGCATTCATCTAATTGTCTTTCCATCACACCATCTTGATGCTCCTGACACAGTTCAACATACCGTAGGCTCTTGATTAGAGGCTAAGGCGGCCCGTTCAGGGGTGGTCCCCGCGTCTCAGTTGCCTTATCCTATAGGCTACCGTCTTCCCCGGAACACATGTCACCCTTATCATCACTGTATTGGACCAGAAAATTGGCTTGTATACATTCATATAAGGGTGCGTTGTGTTTGGGGGAAGACACTCGTAGTAGTGGATAGGATCTCCGATCTATCAGACATTATTGATTAAGCAATTTAAGTTTCATTCAGGATAAGCAAAACTTGACTTGATATGGGCTACTGTCTTCCACCAAATAGAGTATGGTCCTCGCTTCTGTCTCTCACGGATGAAGTTTCCTTCAGTGCAGTTGTTATGCCCATGTGCAAGATGATGATGAACGGTCAAAATGACGTGATAAATTGATAATACCAGTTTGGTGTACGCGATTATGTTTTGTGCTTAGTGTGCTGTGCACGGATTTGTTTTGGTTCAGTTAATGTAGATTTCTCTGCTTTTTTTTTCTTTTTGCTATAGGGGTATCCATCCTCCGTTTCCCTGTTGCTATTTATGCAGGGCAATTCAGAAGCCTGCAGAGGGAGTATCAGTCTTGGCAAAACAAGTGGGAACGGGACTGCGGGCCACTCCTGACGCTATTTTTGGGACAGGATCCGGATTGTTGGAAGGACTGCCAGAGGATGGGCGATCAGAACTACGGGAGATTGAGGCACTCAAACCATCATTTCTGCAGGCAGATGCGAACGCTAAACCGGCACATGTTGGAGAAGGCCTCATGTTTGGCTTGAAGAGCCTGGGGAGCGGTGTTTATGATGGAGTTACTGGCTTAGTGGTAAGAGGGTGCACATGTGTCTTCCATTGCTCCACTTGCTCAGGTTGGGTGCATTTCATTTTGTGTGGGCTGGTATGCCCTTCATCCCTGTGGCTGTGCTTATGTGCAGAAACGATCAGAGTCTGGCGGACGATGCCGGTTGTTTAAACTGCAAGGGCACCACCGAGGCAAACTTGAGAATCGGAAATTAGTCATTCCGAAAAGTTTGGATGAACAGTGCTACTGGACCAAAATGGCTGGCGGGCAGCAGGCAAAAGAAAAAAGAGAAAAGAAAAAAACGCAGCTGGCGCTTTGGCGAAGCTCGGCTCGCAGTGGGAATCCGCCTCGGCAAAAAGAGGCTCGGAAAACAAAATCACCCACGGGCCTAGCTCAGTAGGTACACCCATGAACTTTTGAAATGCAGACTGAAGTTCGAATCCAGATACAATCAGATAAACGGAATAACACAATTCTGAATTACATGGGCCCAGTCGGTTCAACGTATATCTCAAGGTCGTTGCTCTTTTTTTTTTTTTTAAAAGGAAAAACACGAAAAAAAATTGTTTGTCCGAAAAGGATGGATCTAATGTCGAACGGTTCCATGGCGAATTTTGGGGGACATGAAAGGGAAGCTAGTGTCTGGGCAGTTAAGTCCGGGCCAACCTGGCAAAGAGTCCAAACAAGTTGGGAAGAGGTGCAGGAAGCATCTTCCAACCCATGTGGCCGAATGGTACACACATTTTAGCTGTTAGTGAGCGGATCGTGAGTTTGAATGCTGATGGAATGAGATGAATGCCGTAATGTGAGTGACTACCCCCTTTTCAGAAATAAAAGGTCCAGGAAAACGACGGGAAGGAGCCTAAATCGATGGGGACTCGAAAGAGCACATCGCATGCTTGAGCAGTACGAATCCGTCTGTGGTCGGGTGAGACTAACTACGCAGTCATTTGGCTGCTTCGACATCTACGGACTTCGTACCCTTTGGAAATCAATTAAATTATGCCTGAGAGAAAGGTCTGGCCAGACCGAGCAGACTACCACTAGACTTCGTATTCTATCGGCTAGTGCTCTAGGTCCGTTGACTCGAATCAGGAAGTCGTCCGCATAAGTTCATGAAGAACAACCTTACATAATAGAGGTGCGAAGCACAGGCTCGTAAGAGAGAGCTCGTGGAGTTCCGGGAATATGCACTTCGCCGACATTGGTTTTGTATCCCGCTTTAAGCGACCCTTTCACCAGCACTAGGAATTTCTCACAGGCAATCTCTTTTTTGATAATTTGCATGATAACGTTGTGATCTATAGAATCAAAACAGTTAGTTATGTCGCCTTCGATGGCCCACATTTGTGTTTCCTGTGATTTCTTGGACGGAGCAACTCTGCTGACGAGCCCGTGGGATTCAGACGCGAAGCGTCTGCTCTTCGAGCCTTTGCCAAGGTGGAGAACGCCATGTGATAAGAAAGGGAATCCTTCTCCCGTAGTGGCTATGCGAGCTTGATGAGGCACAAAGTGCAGGCCCATGGGTTGGAGCCATTGTGATAGGAACCCTTGAGCGCCCTGAACCACTCTTCGAGCCTTGTGAAGAACAATGAAATCATCGGCGTATCTTACTAGGATAACTCGGCCTTCGGCTGCCTGTTGCTGAGCCTACTCGTTCAAAGCATTGTCCATTCCTCTGTTCAGAATGGTGCAAGTGCTGAGTACTGAGTTTTACAGGATTTGAATTTTGAACCTGTGACCTTCATTTTGCCAGAATGGTGCACGCATTTAAGTTGTATAACTAATAACTATGTGCATTCTGCAGACTGAGCCTTTGAAAGCTGCAATATCTTCGACGGGGCAGTCAACCCCTCAAACAGGTGTTTTGTTTGCGAAAGGGTTCGCAAGAGGAATTGCTGGGTAAGTCCATTCCTTGGTGGAATTCTCTTTTTTTAAGTTTTTTTTTTTTTTTTTTCCAATTTACCAATTTGGACCATTTCTCAATTTATGTGTGTCATCCTTGCACCGGTGCCATGCTAATCTTCTCTGTATCCTTCCAAATTCAACGGCCGTCCTGGATGACTTCTTGATGGAATTGTCAATTGATGTGACACACTACATCTTTCCATCTATGGATGTGGGTGGGGCTGCAAAGTGTGTTGCTGTGTTTGTGTGTATGCGTGTGAAATAAATGTCCTGTCTTGGCATAGAGGAGTTTATAAAGCGTGTGTCTGTGTTTACTCTTAGTTCTGTGAAATGTCTGTCTTGTGTGTCTGTGTTTACTCTTACTTTTGTGAAATGTCCGTCTTACCATGAGAGGAGTTTGCCAAGGGTGTGTCTGTGTTTATTAGTCCATGTACTTCGAAAATAGACCTGGTAGTCCATCTCATGTAAAAAGGGTGTGTTTCTGTCCTGCTGCTAGGGAGGTTGTCTAAAGGGTGTCTGTGTTTTGTCAGTCCGCTTCTGAAGTTTTGATTGAAACACCTTCTTAGTAAATGACGAGTGCTGGTCCTTGGCCTGCACTCGGTGGAGGTGAGCATATGCATATCCACCACCCAGTAAGAGGCACCTCAGTGTGTTTTGGGGCACGGTTCAATGAGGGATCTCTGTGTCACATGTCCAAACCAGAGGTGGGACATCCTACGGTGTGTTTCTGCCCTGCAGTGAGTGTGTTCCCGATGGTGTGACTGTGTTTATCTGGAAGACCAGTTCAAAATCACCCTGGTGGTCTATGCCATAAATGACGAGTGCTGGTCCTTGGCCTGCGCCCGGTGGTTTTGGGGCATGGTTCGATGAGGTATACTTGTGTTATATGTTGGAATTGGAGATGGGACCTTCTGGGAAGCGGAGGTCAATACTATGGGAAAGGTCATGGGTGTGAACAAAGGTATAGAGGAAGACTCAATCAAATGCACAGATGAAGATGAATGCATGACACACTGCAGAGAATCAACTTGCATACCAGCATGAAGGAAACATACAGAGACACATTCCCTGGCAATCATGTGCATACGATGGGAGGTGAAAGAAGAGGAAGGAGGAGTAAGGGGGAAGAAGAAGAACTCAAGGTGTGTCTATGCCGATAAAATATTCTTGCTCTCCCCAAGGTCAATCCTATGATGGGAAAGGGTGTGAAAATGGGCACGGTGGGGAACTCAATCGAATGATCAGGGCAATGCGCATACGATGGGAGAGGAAAGAAGAGGGAGAAGTGAGGAGGAGGGAGAAGAAGAAGAGGTATGGCTCGATATGGCCATGCAGCTAAAATAATCTTCCTCTCTCCAACGTCAATCCTATGATGGCGGAGGGTGTGAAGAAAGACAGTGGGAAACTTGATCGACTGCTCTGGTCAAGGGGATAAAATGCATTCATAATGCACCGAGAAGAAACGTGGGGAGATAATCGACTCTTGCATGAACGCAGAGGACACGTACTACATAGAAGAAGGGCTCCCCACTCAACTATGCTCAGACGATGGCAAGGAAAAGCAGAGGAAAGCGTAGTGAAGAAGAAGTGAGGAAGAAGAAAAAGAGAAGGAACTCGTGATATGGCGATGCCACAAAAAGAACTTTCCTCTTTGCCCTTGCACAATCTCCTCATGCAAATCCCCTCCGACAATAAAATTCCTCAGATCTCTGTATTGGATAGCAGCACTCTCCATACTCTCTCTCTCTCTCTCTCTCTCTCTCTCTCTCTCTCTCTCTCTCTCTCTCTCTCTCTCTCTCTCTCTCTCTCTCTCTCTCTCAGAAACGAGGAGAACTCTCCCTCTCTCTCTCAAAGAACTCAATTCTCTCTCTCTCAAAGGAGGAGAGCTCAACTCTCTCTCTCTCTCTCTCTCTCGGGCTCCATGGGGGAAAGAACTGAACGGCGAAAGGTGGTGTCTTGAGCTGCTGATGCCGTGAAGATAAGTGGCAGTCCAGCTCCCTGGTAGCTCTAGCTATGGCCCCATGTTTTACCATTTCTCTGACATTTCCTGGTGATGGCATGCCGCGCCGCATAGGTGAGTAGCCCCTCTTCCTCTGCAGACCTCCAGTCACCCTGTACCTTCAGCACTAGGTCTATCCGCTAATGCTCTTTCCTTCGCCCCAGCGCTGCACTCCAGCAGCCTGGCAACTCCAGAAGCGAATGACTGAATGCTCCAGTAGCTCCCGTATATAGCGCCGGACCAGCCTGCCTGTCACGCCTGGCCATCAAACGGTCGAAAGCAGGGATTGATCTGTGTGCCTCCTGGACCACTGCTCCCGACCACAAATGGACTCAGCAGAGTGATGTGAACCAGGCTCGAAACCTACAGGTGCAGATAAAATGTGAAGCGACACCCGAACGGGCGCACAGGACAAAAATGGCCCCAGTTCAGTGCAGACAAAAGCCTCCCTTGCCTGCAAATCACTAACCGAACAGACACTCCGAACAGCTCTCTCTGCAGACAGGAAGAACACCAGGAGAAAATGTGTGCCTGTCCAAATATGGATGAAACCGGAGTGGACAAGGCAACGTTGCTGCAGTACAAGAGTGACAAGATAAAAAACAGAAAAGCTTTCCAGCCCATGTGGCTGAATTGTATATTTTTCTAATGCTTTTGACACTTGCTCAGAAGTTGTCTTGCCAAAGTTTTTGATTTTGAGTGTCTTCTTGAGAATAAATTCCATGGCTACCCTGGACCCTGGCACCCAGACAGAAAACCGAACCTGTGTCCGCTTCAATCCTTTTTTTTTTTTTTTTTTAAACAGGTCCTTATGGTCCTGGCTCCATATCCATTCTGGGAAGCGTCAGTCCGGTTCCTTTCCACCGGCAAGTCAAAAGGTTGGAATACATGGTGCACACTCTCACGCTTCCTTCCGTCTGGCCGAAGGAACCCTGACCAGCATTGATTGCTCCTTATCAGGAGGATTGACTGTCAGCTTGCCCTACCACTTTTCCTCTCAGAGCCTACTGTGTCTCTGTCAGATACTGCATATGAAGCAAGAAAAGAGGAGAGTTGTCTATACTGTTGAGATTATAATCTCAGTTTGCTTTTCACAAAGTCCCTATCCTTGTGCTGTGCCAATCTCTTATGAACGCCCGTCTCTTTCCTGTAGAAGCCAATCTCTTATGAACGCCCGTCTCTTTGTGGTTATCTTTTCTGGTCTGCCTTTCGTCGTCGATGTCACTTCCCTCCATCTGACTCGAATCTCTGTTTCAGCCATTCTCAGCACTAGAGCCCACATTTCTTCTCTTGGCACCTCAGTTCCTTCGATCGTCTTGGTGCATCTCCTCTTCCAGATTCCCCATAGAGCCAGCTTTCTGAGTAGATGGAACCAGACTTCCTTACCGCCTTTGAGATTGTTAGTGTTGTTAGATAGGAGCAGGATGTTCAGGGGGGTTGTGTGTGTGTGGGGGGGGGTGATGAGAAGAGGATGGACATAGGTCGCGCACCTTGTTCCAAATCCATGCTGCTTCCGTGCAGTACAGGAGGCAGTGGGGTATGTCTTCCGGGGCGTCGTCTGTGCATAGTCTGCATAGCTCAGTGCTGTCGGGGTCTGTGTGTTTTCTCCTCTGGTGGAGCCAATGATTGGTTGGCAGTGATGCGTGCGCTAGGAGCCATTGCATGCTTCGAATCCTAGCCGGTCTAATGGACAGGAACTTCGACCACGGGACGGATATGGGGACCGAGGGGTCCAGATTCAGAGTCTCCCTCCACTTTCCTTTGAGTCTGGGATCGGTTGGAAGATTTTCCAGGGTTTGGCCTTTGACAGTGTCCGCTTCAATCCTCACGTTTGGCAATCCGGACATCTTCTGGACACTGGACTTAACCGGACCCGGACGGTCCGGACTGGGAAAAAAAAAACAAAGAGTTGATAGTACTTAATACTGACTACTCGTTGCAAAAATATTTTAACTAGTAATTTAATTTCTGACACTGCAGTGCAGCTGCACACAAACAAAGCGGACAGCAACCCCCAAAAGCTTGAGATACTTCCTCTTCTGCACCCCACACGTTGTAGGGATGGAGAGATACTTGCCTCTTCTTAAAACCAAGCCTGAAAAAGGCCACAGCAGTGCATCGCCTGTTAGAGAATCAGACCATCTTTTCCCAAGCACATTGGCAATAGAATGAGACCAGCTCAGAACTCCACAAGTTTCATAAGTCATAACAAAAGAGTGGAAAAGAGTCGAAAGACTGAACAGCAGAAAACAGTGTATTGAAAAGCAGTTGACACTGACAGCGAATCTGCAATGCTGCTAATATCAGACTCTCTCTCTCTCTCTCTCTCTCTCTCTCTCTCTCTCTCTCTCTCTCTCTCTCTCTCTCTCTCTCTCTC